GGCAGGAACGGTGATGGAGAGGGCGGCGGGTGTTGCGTATGTATCGGGTAATGCATCCGACAATGGTCCCATTCGATGAGTGACTCTCTACTTTATTTATGAATTTTTGCCAATATTCCCCAATAAGTCACCCAGCCGCAGTGGTCGTGGTCAGGTCAGGAGGATCAACGGCTTTGTTGACATCTTGGACCTCGCCTTCGTTCACCAAATGGCCGAGCCCGATCTTCTGGAACAAGAAAAACTCGACGAAATAGATCCTTTACGACATTTAAGAGTTGATGGTGAGGATGCTATTGTACCAACGCAGCCGCCTTCGGTGCATCGACAAATTCAAACCTTGAGCTTCGGTTCCATTAGTGTGAAGCTACTTGTTGATGCAGGACCCGGGTGCGGAGGGGTTGCTTGGCCTGCTGGAGAAGTTCTTAGTCAGTATCTGGTCCATCGCGGTCCCGAGTTCATGCAAGGGCGAAGAGTGCTGGAACTTGGGAGTGGCACGGGACTTGTAGGACTTGTCGCGGCACAATTGGAGGCTTCTAAAGTCACAATTACCGATCAATTGTCAGCTTGCACGACTCAAGTATAAGTCACCGTCTGAGTTCATGTCTACTTCAGGCCTCTGCTGGATCTTATGAACCAGAATATCTCATTGAACCGTTTGGAGGGATGTACTGAGGCATTGGAATTAGACTGGCAGGTTGCTCCAGTGCATTGTATCGACATATTATCTAATTCCTAACCAGGGGGAAGGAGTTGCCTCCCTTAGGCTCGATTGATCTTATCCTTGCAGCCGATTGCGTATACTTCGAGCCTGCGTTCCCTTTACTAGTACAAACGCTCTCCTCTCTCTGTATGCTGGCAAGTGATAGGTGCGAGATACTCTTCTGCTATAAGCAGCGTAGAAAGGTATGACTCCAGATTGCCAGTCATACAACCGACTAACTATTCCAGGCCGATAAGCGGTTCTTCTTTCTGTTAAAGAAGAAGTTTTCCTGGCTACAGGTAAGCTGTTCTAGGAGATAAGCGCTTCATACTTACTTCTCAAAGGTAGAAGACGATCCCGCAAATGAAGTTTATTCCCGTCAAGGAATTTCATTATATAGACTTGTGCCCAAATGAATGAAAATATAATTCCCGACCGACAAGGAGGGTTTCCTGGCCAAAATTCCAGGAGTAAGCAAATTTTCTACTCCATTTTGCATCGTCAGCTGCCACCACCCTCGTCAACTCCCAATGAGAGACCAGCTAATCACTGTTCTATCGACGATCAATCACCGTTCTGCTTGTGTTTGCTGTTTGTAAACCAACTACTGTAGATTCATATCAGTCAATTACAACGTAGTGCACCCTATTAAGATCTACTAAGAAAATTCAAGGGGATGCTCGCGCGCGGACACTAATTAAGTTTTGCCTTAAGAAATATCCCCGGAAAGCTGTAATTGTTTACTAATCAATGAAACTGAGCCATGCGAGGGCGTGTTGTAATATCGCAGTTGTATTATTTGCATGCAGGTCTAGTTCTGCTGCCATTGTTGCGCTAAGTGGTTGTGGCTGTGCCAGATTTCCACCGTAACAATGGCTTCATCCCAGCCAAACACGTACAAACTATTCTGCATTGTAGAGGGCGAAAGTTCCCCTTTTCCGGTTGAAATCCAGCCTGATCAAACAATTAGTGCCTTGAAGGATGCGATCAAATTGGAGATGCAGCCTAGGTTCAATGACATTGCTGCCAATGAACTCACGCTGTACAAACTTAACATTCCCGAAGACTCAAATGATTCAGATGACGAGCATTTGGAAGAAAAAGTGAATCAACAACTCACCGCGGAGCCAGCTCCCAAGCCTCTCAACCCAACATTCGAGTTGCTCGATATTTATCCTATCGATGATCCTCCTGCAAAGCGTCAAGTGCACATATTTGTACGAGTTCCGGGTAAGTACTTCCTTCTGATCCCCATCAACCTCTCCGACCAATCGTATCAGGTGAGCAGGGTGGCAACTCCCCCCGGCACAATAATATCGCCAAGGATTTGGAACCATACATCAGATTCAAGCTTGAGTCTGCACAGAGTTGCTCTCAAGCCGACTTGCTGAACAATAACATCAAGTTTGTGGAGACCAAATCTCCACCCAGTTACATAATCGACTTTAGAGATAAACTTCGCCGGAAGCGCCCTGCCGTGGCTGAGTTAGTGAGTGCGCTTGGCTTTTGCGTATCCCTCTCTAACGAATCTCCCAGTCCACCACATTGGATTCCTATTTAAGGCAGTCTAATCTGTTGATCTCCGACTATTTCCAATTCCCGAGTCCGACCAGTGATGTTCAAATGACGGATTCGACGCAAGGGACTCCTGATAAAGTGTCTTACTATGATTGGATTTTTTTGCGTGACATACTGCGGGACCCATTGTCTTTCGGTCGCAACAAGGAGGCACACATGTACCAACTGATCCACCGCCTGCTCGACCTACAAGATGCGCGTTTCGGTCGCGACTCAATAGACGGTCTATATTTATGAGTGTGTTTGATACCGGTCTATGGCCCTAGCTTGACATTGCCAGTAACCGTCCATGGGAATTTCCTCTCATAGTGGATGGTGCAAGGTCCACTGACCCAAGAAAATATATCCCAAAAAGCAATGCTTCTCTGTGCATCAACAGATTTCCTCACCTTATCCTCGAAATCATATCCGATTCATCTCAATCGGATTATTATCGTATGCTCCTACAAGCTGCGTGTCTCGCTAGGCTTGGTAATAAACTAAGAAAGGAGAAGACGAATCCGTTCATCGTTTCGGCGATATACGTCGACAGCCAGCTGGTTGCAAAATGGTGCCTCGTGTACCAGCCTAATGAGATGGACAACCCTGTAGGGCCAATTAAATATGTGGA